CATTCTATGTTAGGTAATGTTATTATTGTTTCAAGAATTAATAATAGAAATATTGTTGCTGACATCTCTTTATTTCTGAGTTTAGAAAATAAACATAAAACTTTTAGCCACATTGAAAAAAAAATATTAATATATATTTTTACAGTTTGTATTCAAAATATCAAATTATATCCAAGTAATAACTAACCACATTTTGTAACTATAATTTTAGAATTTTGACATACAAATTGGCCGAAAGAAAGGAAACGAATAAATACATGAGAATATATGTTAGCTTTTATACTCTTCGTTAGTCCATTTGAATATCATGGAATCCATGAGGCATGAGTATATTCCGTTGCATGAGAAAAATGTCACAAACATACTCCGCCATTGAATGCTCCTCTTATAAAATCATCATGGACAAAATGCCCACTAACTACTTATAAACTCCGCCTAAGTAGCATACATAAGATTAACTAAATATGGAGATAAACAAAACAAAAAACAAATTAACAAACGAAATAAGAGAATATCGTTCAGGACAATTATGAAACTTCGTGTACATTATTTTACTGTTGATGGATTTTATACAAAAATATTTCATAAGATATAGCTTTATACCCTTTAATTTTGAAATGAGTTTAAAGATAAAATAGAAACTTTGAAGAACATCCTTTTGAAAAAGTTGCAGTCTCGACTTGATTGAGTCTGTTCAACATATCAGTGTGAAAATCATGACTTTAAGAATTTGGTAATATCCGCAGATGTGCTCATGAAGATATTAAGAAATATTCAAATAGAAAAACAAGAAAAGCATTGATGCAAAGCATCAAAGGGCGACGCCAAAAGAATTTGATCCAGATTTGCACCTAAATACTTAACAAAAGATGTGTACTTTATAGCAGTACCATTACATGTGACCTGGAGGCTAGGGCCAGTTTAAGTTGAAACTTAAACCAAAAGAGAATAGACTCTGTCTTGCCAAGATGCAAAGACAATTTATAGTCAATTAAGCAATCTTATAAGACTCATGCTATAAGAAAGAATTTCTTCAGATTTATTTTAAGAGACACAAGGATTCCTGAGTCATCAGCATATAATCACAGGCACGAGTATCGGACCTGGGAAGAAAAAATATGACCAGATGACCAGATTGATAAAAAAACTGTGTTTATAAAAACCAAAAAAAAAATGTAAATAATGATCCCCTTTAAAAATATACTATCAACTTGAAGTATATTTTTAAAGGGGGTCATTATTTACATTTTATTTTGGTTGTTGACACTTTTAAGATGAACACAGGTTTTTTTATCAATCTGGCCATACTTTTCTTCCAAGGTCTGATACTCGTACCTGTGCATTATAATAAAAGCTTATTGCTTAGGGTTGAATACATGTAATTGACATATATTAGACACAAAAGAGGACCTAAAATGAACATCAGGGGGACAGCACAGGTACTCAGAGCAGTAGTAGAATGAGTACCAGCCATATCAACCAGCTACTATCAGAGATAAGACTTAAACCATGTAAGAATGTCATTATATATGGCAGATGCTTGAAGTTTCATGAAGAAGAAGAAAAACAACTTTTTCATGTGCAGTATAGTGTGTTCAACTGTATCAAATGCCCTTTGTAGATCTAAAAGTTATCATGCAATACTGCCTTTGTCCATTTCAAAATAATGCAATCTGTTAAATGAATCAAACATGTGTCAATTGAAAAACCACTTCTAAACCCTGACTGAAACTGCCTGACCATGACTCGAACCCATGACTTTCAGAAGACCAACTGAGCTATCCGGCCTGCTACACATTTTCTCTTTAATAATGAAACAGTTCTAAACCACAACATATTTCCCCACTATATCGATTTGTGTTCGTGAATTTCTCATGCTTATATGCAGTCACAGGATGAGAAAAACTTTGAGCATGACCAGAACTCAAACCTGTGACCAACATAAGAAATTTTATGAAGGCTGATTTGTATTTTGCATCAAGGGCACCGGACAAAAACATGAAAATACAACAAACAAACCACTTTGTGGTAGATTGTATTTTCATGTTTTCATCTAGCGCCCAGTTACTTTTTGTACTATGTTGGTTTTCATGTGGCACAAATCTCCCACTATAAATTCAGTGCACAAATTTATTCAAGGGCAAGTAACAATCTACTCTATATATGTACAGTCTGTTGTCGGGTTGACTCAGGAGACCTGGAGGTTGAGACCGGTGTCCCTTCATTACAAATAGATAAGACAGAAACTGTCCTTTTCAAACTATGCACATGTTAGAAAAAAAATAGAATAACTATTCAGAATATGATTTTTGAGACTTTATTAATTATATTGCTTGATCCAAGTTTAAGCGCATTTTCAATTAATACATGTTTTATCATTTATAACTTTAAATGAAAGTCTCATCGCTTTAATAATAATGACATAACTGTATCTCTTTAAATGCAGAAAATTTATAAGTCTCAACATATCAATATACTACTGTCTAAGATATACATGTATGCACATAACATTAATAATTCCCAGGTTATATTAAATAAATATGAAATCCTAACATTAACATTAACATGCTTTTGATGACCTTACAACTGGTGAATTATATACAACAAAAATAGTATTATAAGTAATACCTAAGATAAACAGAAAAGAACAAATAATTTAGTAAACATGAGTTACTTCCCCTTAAAATAAAGAAAACCTGAAACCCAAAAGAACACCCTAAACAGCAAAATTATGAAATGCTGCAGGTTCAGTTTTATCAAGCCATGCAAATTAATGGTAAAGTATTCATAAAAAAAATAGATGGCCATGTGTCAGCAGTAATTGCAGAAAATCGGATAGCTTTCAACATCCGTATACTGGTACACTTTGTAAAAACAACCATTCTGCGCAACAGATAAATGTAATAAGGATAAAATCAATAGGATAATCGTTTACAACAGTTCCATTACCTATCCTTATACTCAATTGCAGGAGAACTTTCGTCATGTAGGAAAATTTTGAAAATGTATAAATGAATGGATGAACTGATACGGCCTCAATCTAGACCACAACGATATTCGAAATCCGGGTTTTAGTATTGTCATTAAAACTAAGGGACAAGCTGTTAAACTTAACCTGCAATTTCGTGAAAATAATATCACAATGCACATGCTTTTTACATAAAGTTATTAAATACAAATATAACAACACATTTGTTTACTTGATTTTTACGAATCAAAATAAAACTAATTAACACAACATGAAATTAACTGCTAATAATAACAGCTCCTTCCATAGGCAAAAATAAAAAGCATTCCATAATAGACGACGCCGCTCACCGGCGTCGCCAATTACCATATAGAGAGACACTATAATGATGATATAAGAATTTAAAATCCAGGCATTCTGAGTGTATAACATTGACAACAAAAAAAAATAAAAACAATAAAATGTTGAGGAAAGAACATCAGTCATAATCTATAAAACAAATGGCAACATATGGATGTCAAATTATATGTGTTGTTTAAGTTACATGTACAATGTATCTTATAAGATAAACAAATATAATCTGTTTTTGAAATCGCAAAACGAAATAAACTCAGGTAGAATTGTCTGCGAATATTGTTGCATACTAGTTACATACAACATGGTCGACTTTCAAATTGAAAACATTTTTTACATGTTCACGTGTTACAATTAATAATGTGCAACCAATGAACTTTAGCGTTTGCAGTACATATTTGAGCTTTGTTGTTTATTTTCACAAACCCAAAATTATCAAATCCAAGTTACACTCACTTTAGCCTAGTTTTTTTTTTATTTTTAGAGTCTAAATAGTCCATATCAAATCCTAATTATCCTTAAAAAAACAAAATAATGTCAAAACATTGGTGGTGTGAAAAAAATTATTTACATACAATACAATATTGATGTTTTTGGTCTTGTACACAGCTCTAAATGATTTCATAGGCGCCTCGTCCAGTATAGGTAAAACAGCAGCGTATTCGTCCATTAAAATAAGGTTATTATTCACTGTTTAGTTCGAAAGTAAATTATATTGGACAAGGAATTTATATACATTTTTACCTTAAAATTGGAATTAAGGCTAGATGGAGTATGACATGCATTTGACATGCAGTAATCAGAATCATTCGCATTTTCAAATGTGTATTAATCCCCTGCCGCGTAGTGGGGAGGTGACTATAGGAATTGTCCCGCCTATCAATCTGTCCGTGTGTCCGGTCCATAACATTATAACTGTCCAATGATCACCATTACGAGACAACGTGAAGAGTCCAGCAATAAGGTTGCTACCCACAATGCCAGGTACACTATTAATGGCCAAATATATATAAAAATAAAGCATTGCATCTCCATTTCGAAGAAAAATTTTAAAAATTACCTATGCACTTTTAATCATCATTATTGAACGATGTACAGAGCGCAAACAATCAGGTCGCTATCCCAAGGTCAAGGCCATCCTTTAAAGAAAAATATAATAATCCACTTTTTGTGTACGATTTATTTGATTTCTTACAAAATAAGAAGCAGAACAGATAATGTTATAAATAAAAGAATTCGCAAAGGTATCATTTACTTGTCCGAAAAACGAAAAATGACAAGGTTGAAAAGCGAGTTAACTCTTGATAAATTAATTCTATAATTTCAATTGAGTTGCGTCCCATACATTAAAGATAATATTCATACAAATTACAAATATTTTAAAATTGGGTTGATATGAATAATTATGCTTACAATTGTTACATTATTTCCAAATTGTCCATTTGGTTTCAAATATAACAGTATTGATCAATTTATTATTAATTGCTTGTTAAAAAGACCCAAAAAGTTCAGTAGATTAAAATTTGAAAAGTCATTTTCCAAGATTTATCCGGACTTAAGTTTTTGAATTACAAATGTCCAAACATTCTTTGCAAAATCACATACCCAGAAGAGAGGTTACAAAGTTTCTCTGTGAAATTTACATATACAACATTTACCGTCAGATAAATTCATAAGAGACAACTTGTGTTCTGTATAAATAACATTGTGTAAAAATTTCACTGAAATTGTACAGCTTTGCATGAAGAAAAAGAATCATATTTTTACTCCATTGTTACTCCATATTAAATAAGCTTTCCCATTTACTTTCAGTTTTCAATTTACCAGTCTTATGATTCCATATATGAGATATTTCTTTTATTTTAATATTTTCAGGCAATATTTTTGTTTGCGTCTTGCTCGTTAAAACAATATTGTCTAAGTAAGTGTTTCATAATGATGGTCTTTTAAAGAAGTTTTATACATTTTAGAAATGCTCGATTTGAAAATATGCCATTCGGCAATCCAAATTTCGCATACATTTTAATTTCTTTAAAAGAGTGTCTATGCTAATAAAATTATTATTTTCAAAGTCCCAAATATTTTTTAAAAACAATATATTACTTTTAACAAATGAATTGAAGTATAACTGTTTCTTACGAAAACGAATTTCAGAGTTACAAAAAATAAATATATCTTTTACATCGGATAGAGACTTTGGCTTAAACTTCGCTTTAAACCGACACCAATTTTCGAAGGAGGATTTGTAAAACGTTCTTATGTTCAATTTGAAAGCTAAATTTTCTAATAAATAACCTTATGCTTGCTCAAGAAGTTTTAAAATCATTTGGAACAAATGATAGCTAGTATGAGATGATGCGCAGAACACAAAAACCAGGTTGTTTCTTCTAAGGTCAAGGTAATACTTAAAGGTCCGTCAAAGGTAAAAGAAAATTACTGTGAAAGGCGATATAGCTGATCGTAATAATGATATTTTGTTTGAATCATATGTTTTAGAAATATCACTAGACTAGAACATGTTTATTAATACAAAAATGAAAACATTTTGAAAATATAAAATTCTCATCTGTGCTTATTATATTTGTGCAAAAAGATTCTTAAACTGCCATAGTTCCTTTCGTGAGTGTCATTTTAGTATAACACATTTAAATTATAGTGTTAATTTCATATCGTTAGCTTGTTTTCCTCTCATGCAATGTCTTTTCTTACTAACTATATGAAATATCCTTTAACTGAAGGTAATTCTTTATCAAGTTTAAGCAGCAATTCCTTTGCTTTTTCAACTGCGTCAATACTAGAATTTGCTAAAACTACATTATCTAAACCAGCCGTCCATGTGGTGTGATAGTTAGATATTTTACGTTGTTTGTTATCAATATACACGTGGGGGATATTGAGAAGTGTTGATAGAATATGACCGTGAAGACGATCAGTGATAACTACTCGACCTCTCTGTAAAAACATCATTCCATTGGTTGTCATAAGAAACGAGTCTTCCATTGGCGAGTCCCCACGTGGGTTTTTCCACATTAACCAATCAGAAACATGCATACGATATCCTTCTGGTGCTAGAGGTGTATTGTAGTGTGGAGACTCTTTATCGGTGCGTCTTATCCAAAGTATATCGAACGTTGGATACATAAAGCGAGAAACGAAACCAATCTGGTAGGCAATATCTGGTGATAATAACGAACGTACCTTAGGGAAGAGCTTCTTGCCAAGATCGAAGGATACCTTATCTCGCCATAGAAACGTAAGCCTCTGATGAGAAGCATATATTTTTTGGCAGAACTTTATGTGAGAATCTGGTCCCATTATCAAAATACTTTGTGGAAACATGACAATGTTGAACTGCATGAATCGTTTTATTTGTTTACCACGAGAAACGTCTGACAAAGGCCAACCAATGACATTTCCGCCACCATGAAAAAGAATGACAAGATCTTTACTTGTATATTTTTTACTGATGTTATGGGCTCTGTCTAGTTGATAATCTATGCAATGAATTTTACATACAAACACAATTTCGATTTTGAGTTTCCTCAAAAGCAATGTTTCTCCAACAGTAATCGCCGAGTCACCTTTGTTTTCCGAGTGAGAATAATCGAATAGCATTGCATATTTATACCCGCCCAACAGGGACTTGAAAATATTCATGTGAATTCTCTGAGCTTCGTCAATTACATCTGATCGTTTTGTAAGCAATATAGAAAGTTTATTACTTTCTTCTGGATTGTGTGCTAGATCTAATGTTAGGAAGTCTTTGATGTTGAATGTCGCTTGCTTTGACAGAGATAAATTATTCCACAACAATTTATAGCTATCATTATTTCCATCAACATATTTCGTTCTACATTTCAATAACTCTAACATCATCGTATGTCCCCTGAAGAACTGATTCAGTGCCAGAAAAAATACAATAATTGTAACCAAGGTAAAGAATAAATGTCTTTTATAGCTCATCACAGCTGAAACATAAAATAAAGTTTGGTTTTATTCTAGATGAGTCTAAATATATTCACATACAAAAGAATCATCTTTTTCTGAGACTATATCGAATGTCTTTCTAAAGGACATAGCATATATTAGGGATAAATTAACCTATGGCAACCAACTACCAATATATGTATTATATCAGTTAAATCTGACCTGGCTCTTTGCTGTTTGTAATTTAATATTGTATTTTGATACTGAAATATCTTAAACTTTGAATGGTTAATTCTAATATTAAAGCTAAGCAAATAACACAAAATCAGCAGGTTTAGAATTAAAAATGTGAACAGCTTTATAATGATATATTATAACTCCTTTCACTCACTTTGAAACTCTTTGTTAATTTGGTGCTGATTCAACTCGTGTACTTTAGAAAACGCATAAATTGTCAGCCCTGTTGCACATGTGAAAAGTCCAATGAAATTTACGATTGACGATGTTTTTGAGCCTGTTACGTATAATAAACCAAGAACAGCAAGCCTTTTCAAAATGTTTCCAAATGCATGACCAATAACGGAAAAATGGTGAAGTACAACTACCGTAGATATGTAGCTATAAATAGCATGAAATAAAGAAGATCCTATGAGAAGAAAGTATAATTTTGCGGTTCCTGTGGGTGCTATCCCGATATCAAAAAGAACCAATGCTCCTACGGCAAAAACAACAAATAGTCCTAATCCAATATGGGTTTTGTTAACTATAAACTTAGAATGTGATATGTGATTCTTTTTCATGTACACGTTTCTGAGGGATAAACATATATTAGATATAAACGCCAGAACAGTTCCTTTGGAAACATTTAACTTCCATGTGTTATTTTCTTGTGCAAATAATATTGAACCACAAACAACAGCTGGAATACTGATGTACTGTAGATATGACAATTCGATTTTTAGAATAAGTTTTTGTAATAAAGCACTGGTTACAGGTTCCATTAGTTTAACAGCAAATGTAGAAGCTACATATGTTACAGCCATACTCCAGTTTGTCGCCAAAGTCGCGCATGCGTGAGCAATGAAAATGACAAGTTTGTTAACCATAACCCCTTTATCATTGTCATCCGTAAACGATGCTACTTGCATGTAGAAGAACACTTGTAGAACAGTTAAAACAATTATGTTATTTCCATTTCCAGGAGTGAATGATGTCGATTCCTTTATAAATAGTTTGGCACAGAAGTGACATGCAAACGATGTTATTGTCCAGCCAATGAAAACAAACAACATCATTTGGAAAAAGGTTATTTTTAAGTTTAGAATATAGTTATTGTTGGTTGAACATGCTTAAAACAAAATCGTACTTTTCTTATATGTGCTTTTTATCTAAGTGAAATAATGTGACGCCTATATTGATTTATAAACGTGTTACAATGTGAAATGATGTTGTTCAAAACTTCACTTAAAGCATACAAAGTTTCCGTTTCCGCTACAAATTATTGGTTGGATTTGAAAATGAATAATTGTTAAATATCGGTTTGAAAGATATATGCATGTTTATGTCCTGAAGAGCAAATGACGCATGCACAGAATGATCGCTAAATGGTAAAATTCATTTTCTTCCGTTACCCTGCAATATCCATGTGTGTTAAATAACAGAGACATTCTATGTTAGGTAATGTTATTATTGTTTCAAGAATTAATAATAGAAATATTGTTGCTGACATCTCTTTATTTCTGAGTTTAGAAAATAAACATAAAACTTTTAGCCACATTGAAAAAAAAATATTAATATATATTTTTACAGTTTGTATTCAAAATATCAAATTATATCCAAGTAATAACTAACCACATTTTGTAACTATAATTTTAGAATTTTGACATTAGCATACAAATTGGCCGAAAGAAAGGAAACGAATAAATACATGAGAATATATGTTAGCTTTTATACTCTTCGTTAGTCCATTTGAATATCATGGAATCCATGAGGCATGAGTATATTCCGTTGCATGAGAAAAATGTCACAAACATACTCCGCCATTGAATGCTCCTCTTATAAAATGCTCATATTCAAAATGCCCGCTAACAACTTTTAAACTCCGCCCTACTTGCATACATAAGATTAACTAAATATGGAGATAAACAAAACAAAAAACAAATTAACAAACGAAATAAGAGAATATCGTTCAGGACAATTATGAAACTACGTGTACATTATTTTACTGTTGATGGATTTTATACAAAAATATTTCATAAGATATAGCTTTATACCCTTTAATTTTGAAATGAGCTTAAAAATAAAATAGAAACTTTGAAGAACATCCTTTTGAAAAAGTTGCAGTCTCGACTTGATTGAGTCTGTTCAACATATCAGTGTGAAAATCATGACATTAAGAATTTGGTAATATCCGCAGATGTGCTCATGAAGATATTAAGAAATATTCAAATAGAAAAATTACCATATAGAGAGACACTATAATGATGATATAAGAATTTAAAATCCAGGCATTCTGAGTGTATAACATTGACAACAAAAATAAACAAAAACAATAAAATGTTGAGGAAAGAACATCTGTCATAATCTATAAAACAAATGGCAACATATGGATGTCAAATTATATGTGTTGTTTAAGTTACATGTATCTTATAAGATAAACAAATATAATCTGTTTTTGAAATCGCAAAACGAAATAAACTCAGGTAGAATTGTCTGCGAATATTGTTGCATACTAGTTACATACAACATGGTCGACTTTCAAATTGAAAACATTTTTACATGTTCACGTGTTACAATTAATAATGTGCAACCAATGAACTTTAGCGTTTGCAGTACATATTTGAGCTTTGTTGTTTATTTTCACAAACCCAAAATTATCAAATCCAAGTTACACTCACTTTAGCCTAGTTTTTTTTTTTATTTTTAGAGTCTAAATAGTCCATATCAAATCCTAATTATCCTTAAAAAAACAAAATAATGTCAAAACATTGGTGGTGTGAAAAAAATTATTTACATACAATACAATATTGATGTTTTTGGTCTTGTACACAGCTCTTAAATGATTTCATAGGCGCCTCGTCCAGTATAGGTAAAAACAGCAGCGTATTCGTCCATTAAAATAAGGTTATTATTATTTAAACTCTTTGTAAGTTCATGTGAATATCATGAATTCCCTGAGTATACTCCGTTGCAGGAGAAAAATGTTACAAACATATGCCGTCATTAAAAGCTCCTTTTATAAAATCCTCATGTACAATGCTCCGCTAACTACTTATAAACTCGATTTGTTTGAGTCTGTTTTATGGAAGTCAGTGGTTAGTGCGAGCCATCGTCTTTGTACCAGTTGAGTGACAGGCAGAATTCAACATATCAGTGTGAAAGTCATGGAATTAATACAGAGACACTAAGATGACGATTTAAGAAGAAGAAAAAATATAGATCAAAGCATTCTGAGTGTATAACATTGACAACAATAAAAAAACAATAAAAAGATGAGATAATAACAGATCAGACATAATCTATATAAACTGGCAACATATGGATGTCAAGGTACATGTGTTGTTTACGTTACATGTATCATATAAGATGAATAAATATAACCTGCTTTTGAAATCAACGAATATTGTTACATACAACATGGTCGGCTTAATCAAAATCAAAACATTTTACCCGTTCACATGTTACAATTAATAATTTGCAACCAATGAACTTTACCGTTTGCAGTATATATTTGAGCTTTTTATTTTCCAAGACTCCATGTAGTCTAGTTTTTATTTTCAGAGTTTAAATAGCCCATATCAAATCCTAATTATATTTAAAAATCTAAATAATGTCAAAACATGGTGATGTGAAAAAAAATATTTACATATTTTTGAAAACAATATTGATTCTTTTAGTCTTGTACACAGCTCTAAATGTTTTCATAGGCGCCTGGTCCTATATAGGTAAAACAGCAGCATATTTCTCCATCAAAATAAGGTTATTACTCATTGTTTAGTTCAATAGTGAATTCTATTGGACATGAAATTGATATATAAATTTTACCATGAAATTTGAATTGAGGCTATATGGAGTACGACATGAATTTTAAATAGATAGTTTTGGTCTTCAAGAAAATAAAAACGAGGCTAAGTGGGCGAGATAAATTGATAAGATTGGATCCAATAATGATTTCTTTTGGAACATCACATTGTTCAAACGCTGAAAATTCATTGTTTATATGTAATAAGTTGTGAATTGTGATCAGTAATTTTTAATTACATCCTATATGTTTAAGTCTTTTGAAAATAAAAACTTCAATAATTATCTCCTTAATAATAAGAATTAAATATTAATTGCCAAAGAGAGACCCTCTGAATTGTTGTCCAGTGTTTAACATGTTATTTCCAATACAGATGTGCACAAAGAGTTATGAGAAAAATCGATAATTGTTGTTTTTTTGTTGTTTTTTGTTTTTTGTTTTTTTTTTGTATGAATAAAGTTAAAACGTAAACATTAAAGTGGCATTATGCCAATTCAAGTGTAAATGGTAAATGCAGATATAAAAGTCGAAATAATTTACAGTTTGTCATAATTGTGCTCAATTTTTCAATAATTTAGAGACGAAACTTTGTGAAAAAGATATGGCAATTGGTTTTAACACTGTTTAAATCAACATCTTCTTGTCATAAAAACGTACAACCACGAAGTTTGAGAGTCGAGAGGACGCTACTATACACTAATTTCAGCATGGTTGTGACTATTTTTACTTGTTTCCAGATGATAATACTATAAGCATTCTAGTGTTTTCAATTAGTACATTGTCTAGCTAATCATGCAAACATTTTCTTCCAAAATAAGACGACTTCAAAGGGTTTAGGGGAAGCGTATATATATTTCTCAGAGCAATTTCTATTCTCGACTAAAAATGGTTCTGCCTATTAAGTAAATATATATCATCACGACTACAAATCACCTATTTGAACATAAGGTAGATGCATAAAATTAGTTTCCAATGAACAAAAGCATAACGACCGATAATGATATATGAAAAGCTTATTATAACCTTCTGTTTGCAATGTAATCAGAATCATTCGCATTTTCAAATGTTTATTAACCCCTGCCGCGTAGTGGGGAGGTGACTATAGGAGTTGTCCCGCCTATCAATCTGTCCGTCCATAACATTTTCGTGTCCGGTCCATAACATTATAACTGTCCAATGATCAAGTAATAAGGTTGCTACCCTCAAGGCCAAGTACACTATTAATGGCCAAATATATATAAAAATAAAACATTGCATCTCCATTTCGAAGAAAATCTTTTAAATTACCTATGCACTTTTAATCATCATTATTGAACGATGTACAGAGCGCAAACAATCAGGTCGCTATCCCAAGGCCAAGGCCATACCTTAAGGTAAAAAATAAAAATCCAATTTTGGTGTACGATGAATCACTTTTAGCTTGCTTAAGAAGTTATAAAACCACTTGGAACAAATGATAGCCAGTATGAGATGATGGGCAGAACTCGAAAACCAGGTTGTTTCTTCTAAGGTCAAGGTAATATTTAAAGATCGGTCAAAAGTTTTAAAAAATATTACCGTGAAAGGGGATATATCTGACCTTTAGAATGCTTTTTTAAATCATTTATTTTAGAAATATCACTAGACAAATTTTATACATGTTTGTTAATACAAAAATGAACACATTTTGAAAGTATTGAATTCTCATCTGTGCTTATTTTATTTGTGCATAGAACTTCTAAAACTGCCGAAGTTTATTTCGTTACTTATTATCATACATTTTAATTAAAGTATTAATTTCATATCGTTAGCTTGTTTTCCTCTCATGCAATATCTTTTCTTACTTACTTTATGAAATATCCTTTAACTGAAGGTAATTCTTTATTAAGTTTTACCAGCAATTCCTTTGCTTTTTCAACTGCGTCAATGCTAGAATTTGCTAAAACTACATTATCTAAGCCAGCCGTCCATGTGGTGTGATAGTTAGATATTTTAACGTTGTTTGTTATCCAATATATAACGTGGGGGATATTGAGAAGTGTTGATAGAATATGACCGTGAAGACGAATCAGTTATAACTACTCGACCTCTCTGTAAAAAACATCATTCCATTGGTTGTCATAAGAAACGAGTCCTCCATTGGCGAGTCCCGCGCGGGTTTTCCACATTAACCAATCAGAAACATGGATACGATATCCTTTCGGTGCTGCAGTGTATTTGTAGTGTGTAGACTCTTTATCGGTGCGCTTTATCCAAAGTATATCAAACGTTGGTTGCATGAAACGAGGAACGAAACCGATCTGGTAGGCAATATCTGGTGATAATATCGACCGTACGTTAGGGAAGAGCTTCTTGCCAAGATCGAAAGACACCTTATCTCGCCATAGAAAGGTAAGTCTCGGATGAGAAGCATATATTTTTTGGCAGAACTTTATGTGAGAATCTGGTCCCATTATCAAAATACTTTGTGGAAACATGAGAATGTTGAACTGCATGAATCGTTTTATTTGTTTACCACGAGAAACGTCTGACAAAGGCCAACCAATGACATTTCCGCCACCATGAAAAAGAACGACAAGATCTTTACTTGTATAATTTTTACTGATGTTATGGGCTCTGTCTAGTTGATAATCTATGCAATGAATTTTACATACAAACACAATTTCGATTTTGAGTTTCCTCAAAAGCAATGTTTCTCCAACAGTAATTGCCGAGTCACCTTTGTTTTCCGAGTGAGAATAATCGAATAGCATTGCATATTTATACCCGCCCAACAGGGACTTGAAAATATTCATGTGAATTCTCTGAGCTTCGTCAATTGCATCTGACCGTTTTGTAAGCAATATAGAAAGTTTATTACTTTCTTCTGGATTGTGTGCTAGATCTAATGTAGGAAGTCTTTTGATGTTGAATGTCGCTTGCTTTGACAGAGATAAATTATTCCACAACAATTTATAGCTATCATTATTTCCATCAACATATTTCGTTCTGCATTTCAATAACTCTAACATCATCGTATGTTCCCCGAAGAACTGATTTCCAGTTGCCAGAAAAAATACAATAATTGTAACCAAGGTAAAGAATAAATGTCTTTTATAGCTCATCACAGCTGAAACATAAAATAAAAGTTTAGTTTTATTCTAGATGAGTCTAAATATATTCACATACAAAAGAATCATCTTTTTCTGAGACTATATCGAATGTCTTTCTAAAGGACATAGCATATATTAGGGATAAATTAACCTATGGCAACCAACTACCAATATATGTATTATATCAGTTAAATCTGACCTGGCTCTTTGCTGTTTGTAATTTAATATTGTATTTTGATACTGAAATATCTTAAACTTTGAATGGTTAATTCTAATATTAAAGCTAAGCAAATAACACAAAATCAGCAGGTTTAGAATTAAAAATGTGAACAGCTTTATAATGATATATTATAACTCCTTTCACTCACTTTGAAACTCTTTGTTGATTTGATGCTGATTCAATTCTTGTAATTTAGAAAACGCATAAATTGTCAGCCCTGTTGCACATATGAAAAGTCCAAAGTAATTTACGATTGACGATGTTTTGGAGCCTGTTACGTATAATAAACCAAGAACAGCAAGTCTTTTCAAAATGTTTCCAAATGCATGACCAATAACAGAAAAGTGGTGAAGTACAACTACCGTAGATATGTAGCTATAAATAGCATGAAATAAAGAAGATCCTATGAGAAGAAAGTATAATTTTGCGGTTCCTGAGGGTGTTATCCCGATGTTCACAAGAACCAATGCTCGTACGGCAAAAACAACAAATAGTCCTAATCCAATATGGGTTTTGTTAATTATGAACTTAGAATGTGATATGTGATTCTTTTTCATGTACACGTTTCTCAGGGATAAACATATATTAGAAATAAACGCAAGAACTGTTCCTTTGGATACATTTAACTCCCATGTGTTATTTTCTTGAGCAAATAATATTGAACCACAAACAACAGCTGGAATACTGATGTACTGTAGATATGACAATTCGATTTTAAGAATAAGTTTTTGTAATAAAGCACTGGTGAGAGGTTCCATGAGTTTAATTGCAAATGTTGAAGCAACATATGTTACAGCCATGCTCCAGTTTGTAGCTAAAGTCGCGCATGCGTGAGCAATGAAAATGACAAGTTTGTTAACCATAACCCCTTTATCATTGTCATCCGTAAACGATGCCACTTGCATGTAGAAGAACACTTGTAATACAGTTAAAACAATGACGTTATTTCCACTTCCAGGAATGAATGATGTCGATTCCTTTATAAATAGTTTTGCACAGAAATGACATGCAAACGATGTTAGAGTCCAGCCAATGAAAACAAACAACATCATTTGAAAAAGCTTGCCTCTTCAAGTTATGAAATGAAAAAGGTAAACTTTGAATTCAAAATATCATCATTGTTGGTTGATCATACGTTAAACAAAATCGTACATTTCTAATATTTGCTTTGAACCAAAGTGAAATCATGTGACGCCTATATTGATTTATAAACGTGTTACAACGATAAACGATGCTGTACAGAGCTTCACATACAAAGTTTATATACCTGTTAAAAATGATTGGTTGTATCTGATAAAGAATAATTGTAAAATATCTGTATGAAAAAAAAAAATATTTTTTACAGTTTAAATTTCACAATATTAAGTTTTATTATATACTTATAAATGAAATATTGAGAAATATTGATGAAATAAAATACGTATTTTGATTTTCCGTATTTTCACTGTAAAAATTTATTTTTCACTGCAGTGAAACATATTTTCCGTATTTTCACTGGTGTCTTGCCGGACTACTTTCTTTTAAATTCTGCCAGTACTTAAAATTTAAGGGAAAGTCTTTCAAATTTTAATGTCCAGAAAGAGAAAAATGTATATAATAAACAGAAAATTCAAGTTTTTTCTATAAATACATGATTTATTTTCATCTTGTGGCATGAAAATTACCATATTTCACTCGTGGCTACCGCCACTCATGAAATATTTATTTTCATACCACTCGATGAAAATAAATCCTGTATTTATAGAAAAAATTTGAATATCCTCTATATATCCAATTAATAATTAAGATACCACATTTTGTAACTATTATTTTAGAATTTTGCCATTAGCGTCTAAATTGTCCGAAAGAAAGAAAACGAATTAATGCATGAGAATGTATGATAGCATTTACGCTCTTCGTAAGTCCATGTGAATATCAAGAAGTCCGTGAGTATACCCCGTTGCATGAGAAAATGTCACAAACATATTCCGTCATTGAATGCTCCTTTTATAAAATCCTCATGTACAAAATGTCCCGCTAACTACTTATAAATACCGCCTTTCTGGCATACACAAATTTGTTTAATAAAGAGATAAACAAACAAAAAACAATTTAACAAAAAAAAAAAAAAAAAAAAAAAAAAGAATATCGCTCACTACAATAATGAAACTACGTGTACATTATTTTACTGTTGATAGATTTAATAAAAAAAAATATTTCATAAGATATAGCTTTATACCCTTTAATTTTGAAATGAGTTTAAAGATAAAATAAAACTTTGAAGAACATCCTTTTGAAAAAGTTGCAGTCTTGATTTGATTGAGTCTGTTTTATGGAAGTCAGTTGTTAGTGCGAGCCAATCGTCCTCGCGCCAGTTTAGTGACAGGCAGAATTCAACATATCAGTGTGAAAATCATAAAATTTAGAATTTACTAATATCCACAGATGTGCTCATGAAGATATTAAGAAATATTCTAATTAAAAAATACCGTACAGAGAGACACTTTGTTGATGATGATTTAAGAAAAAATAATAATTTTAAATCCAAGCATTCTGAGTGTATAACATTGACAACATTAAAAATGTTATGAATTGAACATGAGCAAAGAACATCAGACATAATAATATAAATCAATTAAAAAAATATCTGGCAACATATGCATGTAAAGTTATATGTGTAGTTTACGTTACATGTATTATATAAGAGAAAAATAATTATAATCTGATTTTTAAATTGCAAAATGAAATAAACTCAGGTAAAATTGTCAGCGAATATTTAAACATACAATTTGGTAAGCTTTCAAATTCAAAATATTTTTCCGTTCACGTGTTACAATTAATAATTTGCAACCAATGAACTTTATTTACATATTTTTGAATACAATATTGATTTTTTGGTCTTGTACTCAGCTCTAAATGATTTCATAGTCGCCTCATTCAGTATAGGTAAACAGCAGCGTATTCGTCCGTTAAAAAAAAGATTATTATTCAGTGTTTACTTCGATAGTAAATTATATTGGACAAGGAATTCATGTATATTTTTACCATGAAATTGAAATTGAGGCTAGATGGAGTACAACATGAATTTGAAATAGATACTTTTGGACTTCAAAAAAAAAACGAGTCTAAGTAAGGGGGCGAAATATGCATTACAAACGAATGTTTTGCACTCTGGAAATGGAAACGAGGCTACAAATTGATAAGATTTGATCCGATAATGATTTCTTTTTGGAACATCACGTTGTTCAAACGCTGAATATCCATTGTTTATATTCGATAAGTTGTGAAATAAAATTCAGTATTATGATCAGTAATTTGTAATTTCGTCGTATATGTTTAAGTTTTTTTTATATATAATTGTGTACAATTTTTCAATAGGTTAGGCAAGAAACTTTGTGTAAAAGATATGGCAGTTGGTTTAAACACTGTTAAAATCAACATGTTATATGTCATGAATAAGCTCAACCAATTAAGATTGAGGGTCGAGTACATTGATTGTTGATTGTTGAAATCACTAATAATCATTAATCTAAATTACATTTATTTCACATGATTAAATACAGGCTTTTGGAAAAATATGTTCTTTTGTAGAGCTGAATAGTTTGGATGTCGGGAGAACAATAGTTTGAAAAAAAATATATTTTATTTCTTAAAGGGACTCCACTGAGGTTTTTTTGACATGATGGGACTGAAAATATTTTTTCCAGATAAATGTACCATTTGATGTAGGTTTAGACCACTAATCTTTGTGCAAAATTTCAGATCATTCGCGCACTTCGTTTTTCCAGAATAATTATTCAAATTGTAAAAAAATGACCCAAAATGAAAAGCGTTTAAACGCTTTTCACTCAAATCGGGCTAAGAAAAGCATAAAAATATGATTTTCAATTTATTTCAAAGTATATTTCTTAACTATCTTTGCATATATTTCTGTTTAAAGTGCCCCAGCTCATTTATGTAAGAAATTCAAATGTTATGTTTTTAGGCTTTTAAACCTCAGTGGAGTCCCTTTAAGCTTAGTAACGTAAGAAGAATTTCTTTGAATTGCCCTTGCTAATTTTGGAATGTTCTTGAAATGTTCTTATTATATATTAGTTTATACAATTTTTTTAGTTCGATCGTGTTGGAAGCTATAAGCTTATTGAAATACATGTATTCTCTAATCCGTTCCTTGACCAAAACAGCACTAAACAATGAATTTAAAGTTTCTTGCTCAATGAAACAACGGCTTGCCCATGACGGGTTATGAATCCATGCGTTCAGCAATCCGAAGATTACTAGTCCGACGCATTAACCACTCGGCCACGCCGCCACTTTCTAATTATTGATCCAGAAGCTTCGTATACCTAAGTATTTTGAAAGCTGTTGACAGCCGTTAAAGTTTCTATCATTTACATATTACTTTGTTACATAATAGTTTGTTATATCACACATGAGGCCATTTATCCTTTAAACGTCTGTGTTGCAAGTTGTGTAGAGATTTTATTTGTATCCATAAAGACAGGTATGGTATCAAAATTTATTCTTACATTGTTTTTTACTTACCAACAAAATCTGACGCATCACTTTGCAATGGAAAACGTCGATGAAAATGATATTGTTTGATCAATAGTTTTTTTTTAAACTTTATATCTTAACACTATATTAAATTCAATTAAAAAAGGAAAAAGGGTGCGTTGAGCAAACCGGTCTATCAATGGGGCAACATTATAGCTTCATA